GGGCGAATAAGGACTTCTCAAACCTTTATATTTTCTCTATTTTTGTAACAAAATAGCAATTTAAAATTTAAAAATCTTTTTAAAAAAATTACATCACCTTCAACATGGAAGATCTCACTGTTTAAATATCCATGAAATAGACATACTGGTTTGCATATCTCTTTTTTTTTTTTGGAATTACATACAGCAAATAAAAGTATTTTGGAAGCGTTTAAAAAGTAATATAAATTCATATTTACAGAATGGTTTTGATATAAAATATACAACAATCATATTCATGTCTAACATTCTATGTTAATTTGCAACAGCAACAGGAAATAAGTTAAGGTGACAAAGATGGTCTTATTCTCATGCCTAATCATCTCAAGTTGCAAAGTGAAACAAAGTATCAGTCTCACGGTAGAGCTGAGGTGGCACTGGCTATCGGGAAGATACAATAATAGCCTAAGGAAATTAAGAAAAGGCTACTTCACCGTTATTTCTACAAACATCTCTTTGCATTTAGTATTAAATAAATGTGTAAGATCTTCCATACTGATACCAGAATATCAAAACTAACCCTTGGGTTTTCAGGTATATTTACAACATAATTATTTCATGGACATGTTCATTAAGAGAGATATCTAACACCAATATTTACTTAGTCTAATCAACAACCCTCAGGGAAATGCTAACCCCCACCCCCCAGAAACGTGCACAAAACAGTTATCAAAATGTTATCTGACACATATCTGTGATTTTTGTAAAACAACAACTCAGACGACCAGTAACATGATCCTCTTTAAGCATTTTGCTAGCAGGAAAAGCCCTTACGTACAGTACACCTGGTGAAAAGTCAGCTTGGCTTAAAATATTCCAGTACAATTTTCAGAGTAAACAACTTCACAGAAGTTAATAAAAAACATAAAAAATGTAAAACTTGTCAGAAAGAAATAGAAGAGTACAAACAATAGGATAGTCATCACCAGGAGAGAGGGTCCTGCTTTCATTTCTGAAAGGGTGACTGAATTTTTAAATTTCAGAGAAAAAAATTATGCCCAGAGCTCTAGGTTGTCTGCGTTTAAGAATATCTATATTAGTTGACATAATAGGATTTTCAGTCACATCTTAGCAGGGCACAAATTCATAAATTTTCAGTATTTCTGAAGGTCAGATAATGCTATACTATTTTATTTTCAAGACCTTTGAAAATAAATGGATAATGAACAAGCAAAATTAAACCTGAATAAAAAGTTATGATTAACAGTATTTAACAAAGACAATGTCATGAGCGTCTAAAACCTCACTATTGAGTTTAAATTAAAAAAAAATAGCAATACCATCTTGTTAGTCAGTGCAAACACTACGTACAGGGTTTTCACAGGAAAGCCAAGAGCACCTGATACTTTTTCCATGTCATCTGGATTCTGTAAAAGCAGGTGAAGGATTACATTTAAAAAACAAAACAAAATTAAACAAAACCTACACTGTCAAATTAGTGCATAATCTGTCAATATGGTTAAAAAGACTTCTGCATATAATTTGGAGAAATCAATACCTAGTACATTAGCTGAAGGACTTAGGCACTTGGTTTACTTATATTTATTTTTACTTGGACAAGTAGCCTGTGTATAAATATCAACACTACTAAAGCGGAAATGAGAAAACACAAACAATAAGAAATAAAACGCTGCAACAGAGCACTGCATCACAGTCCTGCATACAATGCAGTAGTGCAAAGCTAAAGTGTGTTAACCCTGTAAAAATCTAGATTACAAATCCCTATTTCTCACTCTTCAAGCAAGAAACAATATTCCATGCAAAGTTCCACACCTCAAGAAAAAGCAGCTGCAACAAGATGCAAGTTCCTCTTTCATAAAACAAAACAGACACAAATAAGTTAGTTTTACTTTCACTAGATGTATCACTGTAGGATCCTGCTAGTTTAAATAACTGAGTTGTTAATTTTCTACATAAGCCATTTTAAACAAGAATGGCTCAGTTACTGCACCGGATTGCTACAAACTCATAAAAAGCTGCTTTAAGCTTAAGTAAAACAATGTCCAGATTCCATTCATTTGTGGAAAGTGAACGCCTTACCCTAGTAAAGTAAGTTTATTTTTCAGAATGCTAATGCGAGAGGGGCTTGAAGTATCAAAGAGTCCACAGGAAATGGATGACCCCAATATTATTTTTTTTAAAAAAAATATACATTATATAATATATATTATATATATATAAAAAGCTAGTGTAAATGCTTCCATGGCGTGGTCACAAGCTGGAAAGATGAACGAGTTTCAGCTGTTAACCATCTTGCCATTCACAGCCGGCTTTAAAAAGTTGTTTTTATCCTCAGACATAATGTGAGCAGTTTTCAAAATGAGGCTGCCAACACTGACTGATGTGCTGATGGGCAGGCAGCTTGCATTGCTAACAGATGCTGTGATGGGCTGACTGAAGCAAGAAGTTACGGGCAGGATTGCTTTCTGCTCCTCCCTGAGGGGAAAAACAAGTTATACAAATATTCAACTTCATGCAGAAACAGTAGTAAATAAACCGTGGGTGTTACATACGGTAAACACCGAAAATAAATGGCATCTAGTGACAGAAGCAGAACATGTTACTATGGAAGAACGTCCTCACAAAGTGACATGTAGATCATTTCATTTTCAAAGGCCAAATTAAGCTGTTAAAATAGTCTAGAATAGATCATTGCAGCAATGTATTTTAAATGTTCTTGGTACTAAAATTAATGCTAATTAAAGCTTAATACTAACCCTGTTGAGACTAGCTTGTCTAATCTCTGGTAAGTATAAAAAGAAGTGTGCTTTTACTGTATTTTGGGAACACATGAAAAATATTGTTTCTGGTCATTATGACTGCTTCCTTAGAAAGCCAGAATGCATTAAAGTGCATAAAAACAATGTAACATTTCTGTAGTTTTCAAACTGATGAACCAAACCTTTCTATTTTCTGTTTTAACACTCCCTCCCACTTTATCACGCACACATAATGCAGAGGTCTCAAAAGGCGAGAGAGAGTAAGTGGTTCCTCTTTACATTCTCATGTCATTAACTATTCTGATGCTGCTGTTTCTCTAACACTCACAGAATCACAAGGTCTTCACCTAAACTTTGTCTCTTCTGCTCCAAAGGTTCCTTTTGGCGCTGCTTTAGTGAATGACCATTCTCTACAGTTGTCCCATTGAGCAGCTGATCTTCTTGTGAACTGATACCTAGCTGTATGTCCAGGATCTCCTAAGGAAAGATGGCAGAATTCTCCATCAGTGCTGTCACTACCTGCTCTGATAGAACATCTTATTTTATGTAGTGATTCTGGATCTCTTCTCTTTGCAAGGCTTTTTTATTTGTTTTGATTTCTTATAAAAGAATCAACTATTGTGTACACTAGATACCTTTTAATGACATTTTTAAATGATCCCATTTACATTTACAGTTAATCCCCAACAAAACTGAACCCCGATTAAAAAAGAAGAGCTCTGCTCAGACATCCTTCCCACCTACCATGCATCATTATCAAGCCTCAAAAGCTCAGAGTCAAGGTCTTTTAGCAAGCCTTGAAGTTAAACAAGCCCAGGCTATCCCAAAACATGGACGCTGACTCCACATTAGTGAACTCTTTCCTCACACAGAAAATTTTCCTGGCAGCCTCTCCTGAAAATACTGAGCACCATCACTAATCATAACTAATCAGCAAAGAATGATGAGAGGCTCAGACTAGCCCACTACCTGTAGTTCTCTTCTTGCCACAAATCACCATTTGCATCTGGAAGCAGTGCTGATAAACTGCCTAGAAGTCCATGACGTCCTGCTATCCCAGGCAGGCCAAACACATTACTATACCTGGTTTCTATGTTAGTGTTTATGGGGTACTGTGTGGGCACACAGCATTTCTGTACGTCCCCTGAATCAGAACTTTACAGCTCAAATCAGATGAACAACAAGGGGAAAACAATTACTAAAGAAAAATGGTGATAAAGGGCAGTAATGATGTGGCGGTCAGTGGCAAAAGAAAGAAATAGGTTTTAAGGTAGCAAATGGGACAGGTGGTTAGTGAAAAATGAAGAGCTGTTCTCAACACAAGGGAAACCAAATAAAGCACAAAGCTGAGAGTAGAAGTAGTAAAATCTACATTCTTCCTCAAATAATTCTTTCCTCTATATTCTTCCTCCTGGAAATAAGTTTCACTCTCAAGGTTTGCCAATAAGACTTAATGTAATTACAGTTCACAGGAACTCAGTACCATATGTAACAAGTGAAAACAAAAACAAAGGCATGGAAACTGGAAGAACCAGCATGTGTTATCCAATTCCTTAGTGATAGGGATCGCTATTCCTTTAGAACATATGATTGCTTAAAAGAAAAACTATAATCCTTTTGTGTGGTATGAAACAAGAACATTGGAACACTGTGTGACTTTTCAGAAGTGAAGGAAATGTTTAAGGAGAAAGACTTGTGTCAAGAAGCCAAATATGAAAGAAAAAGAGAAGGTGGAGACAACAGGAATAATACAGAGGGAAATGACAAGTGTCTTTATCATTAGAAATTAGTCAATTAAAAATGTCCTTTAAATGACCCTGTTTTAATATAAATGTTATTGCAATTAAAGTCTATCTAGTGATTACATATTGGGAAAATGCAATTATTCCTGATACATAATAGCTACCAAAAAGAAAAGAAAAGAAATTTTGCCACTAGAGAATGTTCATAATCCCAGAGCAGTAGAAAGGTGGGGACAAATTACTCTGATGAAATGTTGCCAAAAGAAGATACCCAAACCTATTTCTTATTTAAAAAGTCCTTCATTTTACAAGGTCAAGTTTCTAGAAATAGCAGAACAACGAGTGGAAAGACCCCTGTGCCCTTTTCCAACACGCAGCTCTTTTACATACCTCTATTTGTTCGCCCTGTCCATCAGGTTCGTCGGTATCAAGGGCTGAAAGCTCTAATTCAATGTCTCGATCTGGCTTTGCATCTGCACAGTCTTCAGTATAGTCACTCTGCCAAAAAATGTAAAAAGTGCACAATGTAAACACTAAAGCAATGTTCACCTGCTGTAAACACGGCTCAAGAATTCAAGTGAAGGTGGATGGTACTGTTATAATCCAGATTCCTGAGATGTGGGAGAAGGGTGGGGTAGGAGAAGATAGGAGAACCACTTGGATACCAACAGTATCCTTGGAAATAGAGAGGATCCTGCTTACATTCCGAGTGATGTAATGAAGAGAAGAATGTGGATGTTGGAATATACTCTTCTACACAGCTCACTGGTTGAGGTACTGAATTTATATTGCCCACAACTGGAGCAATGAGCAGAGATTGTGCAGAGACTGTGTGGTCAGATCCTACACAAATCACTTCCTTGCCATTATGTAAATGTTTGGAGCACTGATGGATGGTGACTCTTTCCATCTTCCATGTCCAGGTTATCTATATATTCCAGTTATCTATAGAAAGAGCATCTACGTCCCCATGTATCTACAATTGCATGATAAAGCAGAACTCATTCCTATTAATGTCCTCCATTATTAAGCTCCTGCTTACCAAGAGGCAGCATAACAAATACATCTACTCGCTCTCAGAGAGGTAACCATTTGCAGTTGCAACAAATTCTTTGAACAGAACAGATTATAAATATATTAAACTTTAACTTTTCCAAGCAAATGCCCCAAAACCTCAATTGTCTGTTTCATCCCAGTCACCCTTTTCTTTACCTCACCATTCCTCAAATCAATTTCCTTGCTTAAAAGATTTAAGGTAAGGCGACTGCCTTCATCTAGAGAGCTCCACTTCTGTTGCATGGCTAGCGCATTAGCCTCCCTCTGAAGTAACAATGAATTACTTTTGGCCTGTGGAGAAAAACATAAACTACATGTACAAGCTACATATAAATCTTGTATTGTCAGACTGCTAAACAAGCCTCCCCACATACACAGCAGCTCTCTCTCTAGGCAATTCAGTATGCTCATTACCCACAAAATACTGCTCCACATTGGGAAAAAGCACTCTCTTCTCTGATCACAGGGACTGAACTCTTGATAGGTGCCAGCAGATGCACTTAGCTGGCATAGTGCTTTCTATCAGAAGTGACCCTACTGAAATCAATAGGATTGCTCATGTTACTAAGCCTACACCTAGTATGGTATATAGGACCAGGCTCTAGCTCACCCTCTCATTAATCACTTAGCAATTGTAATATTTAATTTTCTAAAGCACAGTAAGATACAAGTCATAGGAAAGACTTTATATTAAATAAAGTTTTATGCATGGTGTAAATGGTCTTACCTGCTGTAGTTCAATACTCAGTAAATCTCCAGTGCTGGAATGCTTTCTGTGACCAGATAAATCGGTCACTATGAACCTATCCCTTAAAACATAAAGGGAGGCATTATTCTCAGATGCACCAAAACGTACATTTCCTTTCATCATTAACCCCTCAGACTTTGTTCTCTAACCATCCTATGGTTTTGGATACAAGTGGTGTGCATCAAATAATACTTAACTCTTTTCCAACATCCCTTAGTCATGCCTTACAACACACCTCTCAGGAAAGCAAGTATAGGGACACGAAGACAGAGCGGTTATGGAAATTGCTTAAGGACAGTGATGGGCTAATATCACAGCTGAGATTACAACTCAAAAGTGCCTGATTCCCAGTCCTTTGACTAGGCCATTCCAGCTTGTTTCTCCTACTAATGAGGTTTTAATGGCCAACTCATTTTTAACCTATTTCTTCTGATGCATAAGGCCACGAATGTAAAGCATTTGCTACTTTTAAAAATAAGTGCGTCTATTCAAGTCTCAGATATTTTTTCCACGTGCCTGGAATGTTTAGAGTAACTAAATTGCCAAACAAAGTTCATACCGTTCTATATAGCGCGCTGATGAAGTGGAATCTGAGCCATAAGAACTCCATCTTGAATCAACAGCATTGACATATGGGACATAATCTATAACAAATTAACGTACAATTTAGTGTCTTCCTACTTCTCATCACAGAATATGCATACACTGTAGTTCTGTGCATGCGCAGAGTTATTAGTAGGTCATAAAAATTATCCAAATGCTTTGGGGGCACCTGCTGTGGTAGTAACAACAAACATTTACTATACCTGATACACTTATGGGCTTAGTAGCACTTCCTTGGGAAGCAGTGGCTTGAATAGGGTCTGTTGTGTGATAACCTGTGCGAGATGATCTGGAGATTGCACCCCACTTGGAGATGATCGGTCCATCGCTAAAGGGAATGATAGGATCTTCTTCTTTTGCCCTTCTTTGAGTTTCAAACAAATGCACTCTCCTTTTAACATCTCCACTGTCCAAATCCTACATATTGAGGAGAGAGGGAAAAGGAATGCAAGGGACTGAATTTCCATTCAATCTGTCAGCTAATTCAGAAGGCCACGGTTATCAAAATAACCGGTGCTGAACATGACTGCTCCTACAGCTAGCAAGCTGGGAAGAGACATAGCAACTTACATAATGGATTTTCAGTAGCTAACTGTCCATCAGAGAGCAACTGACAGTGAAGCAGGGCATATAGGGGGAAAGGGTTTGCATATGAAAGGAAACTATAGTTTTGAAATATATATTGATATCTATATATCTGTGTCCGTCTCTCTCTCTAGATAGATATCCGCCTATATCTATATATAGATATCCACAGACATCCATCTATATCTATATAGATATACACACTGTATATATAGATGCACACGCATACACACATTCATATCTATATATAGATATCGATATATATTTTAAAACTATAATTTCGTCTCATTGGGCACGTCTACACAAGACGCATACCGTACACCAGCTTGTTACTACTATGCAGTAGCCTCGCCGGGCACAAACTACAACTTGACTCTACTACACAGCGGTAATGAGCTACTGCGCAGTAAGTGTCACTAGGCAACTGTGCTGGGATGCTACTGTGCAGTAACAACTGCACAGTAGGCGGCTCACGTAGATGCGCCGTCTGTGTAGAATATCTTCAAAATGCCATCCCTGCATGATGCTCCACTATTCTTTCAAGCAGTTCTAGAACTGGACGAAGGAAGGGTGGAGCTGGCAGAGACGCAGTTACCCTGGTGGTGGGGAATGTGCTAGCAGCCACCTCCCTGGATTGTACCAGAACAGAAAACAAATGCAGAGAAAAGCTTATTTATCAAAAACAAGGTCATCTCCCTTGCTATGTGGCAACTTGTTTTTATTCCCCAGTTTATTCAAACCTCAATTAATTTTGTGTACTCAGCTTCAATCAGATAAAACAAAGTTATATTTTATTTTCATTCAGTTACGTTTCTCTACATTTTACGTTGTTTATCTTACGAGGATATGTGCATCCCAAAGAGATTTTAACAGGCCCAGCCCTGCATTTTGGGAAACAACAGTAATGGAATAAAATGTTAGCTTTATGTAAGTGACCTGTGTATGCACTGCAGCCAAGATTAAAGTTCATGCAGGATATCCTAGTTCTACACAATGTGGCACAAGTTTTAGCCTTCTCATTTCTTCTCTAATGAAGTTCAGAATAAAGATTCTCTAAAATAGTGATAAACAAGCAATAGATCTAGTTAAACACCAGAGATAAACAAGAGTTTATTTCAGCAGCATGGACTATTTTGCTTAAAATGATCAGGAACCGTATTTATCCAGTGGAAACATCTGCCCTAAATCGAATATCTTGCCCACATTATTCTGGCAAGTCTGCTATACAAAAGTATCCAGACACTATTACACTATTTAGATAGCTCTGAAATTGGAGCATTGTTTGTTTCCTGGACGAAGAAGAAATCACTGAGTGCAGTCAGATTTTATAAAATCTTCTTATTTATATGGCATCATGCTTGTCAATTCCTTCAGTTTAATAAAAGAAGTCTGAGGAACAGGAGTCCTGATTTACTGAATTATAAACTGCTACATTCTATACTAATTTGCAGATCGGCTATTGAAAACGTTGTGGCCAACACAAAGCTTTATTTAAACTGATTACTCTTGAAATAATTTCTCTTAAGCCTAAAAGCATTAATTATTCAAAACATTGCATGTTTATTTCGCTGAGAGGAGAGTCTGTATACATAGCTGGGGGAAACTATTCCAAACAGTTTAAAATAAGTTGAACTAATTTAACCTCCATTCATAGTATTTCAGTTTGTCAACATTTTTGATTGACAAAAACCTGGCAATCAAACACAAAACACTTGCAGCAAGTCCTATCGAAAAGAAGAAACTTGCAAAACAGCCATACCATTAACACAGTATTTGAATTGGCGATTACATCCTTGGGCTCTGAATCGATAGCATTTATGCAGGAGCCAATAGTGCCACAGGACCAGGGTGAGTAGTGGGAAAGATGGTCTTCTTCAAATTTAGTACCACTCAAGTCAGTAACACTCTCTGAAAACTTTGGAAAAGGAAAATAAAACAGAGGGAACTCAGCTTTGAAATGTTCATACAGGAAAAAAGAGGGTTGGGGGTTCTGCTACTAACAATTAAATCAAGTCTGTTTAGGAAGTTTAAAGACTTACCTACCCTAGGGGTTTACATCACTTTTAGCCATCAGTGACCAGCCACTGGTGCAGCTGCACCAAATCTCCATTGCGGACTGGGTAAACCAGTCTAAGCCACATTGTACTCCAGTGCTGTGTACTGCTTTTGCACAAGACTAAGCTTTGCCAGGGTAAGCTTTGCCTACCAAAGCCACTGGATGAAACTAGTGGTGCTATATTAATGGCTGGTTTTCAGTGCTTGTAGCTGTAGTAAATCTTCAAAATAGAGCTTGAGCAAAATCCACAGTTTTTCCTTTGGTAAAGTACATAAAGCAAATCTTGGTAGAAATAGAACTCTTAATCTCCTGTTTGAATAAAGGCTAACCAGATCTGTGACCATCCTTACCCCTTAACAACATGTATTTATTATGAGTTGGCTTAAAAAATCATTTAATATTATATACTTTAAGTTGCTTTTAGATTCTGTGTATTTTCTTACATGTATAGAAAAGAAATACTCCAAGATTACTTTAGTCTTTATATCACAAATTCTTATACATTTATTTCCTAAACCCCTTCCCATTTTGCTACAGTTGTATCACATATCTAGACAATATTTTACCAGGGCCTTATGCACCTTTTCATTTTAATATACATATTTTTGGGGACTCTGGCAACATATGCAACTTGATTAAATCTGCATCATGTTTTAACACATTAAGAACAAGACTATAAAACAGGAGGGTTCTTAATAGAAATGCATCCATTGTGCTCGACATAGAAACCTGAAGGTTCATAAAAGGAAGAAGCTGTTATAACATTTAATTACAAAATTGGTGTTTGTGAGCCTTCTGCTGGATGATTTGTGATTCTAACTAAATGTAAGTTCACTGTGAGGCTCTATACTAGGTAGGTTCTGCGCTATGATACAACAGTCTGAACAAAAAGTTAACATAATTCAATACTACTAAATTACCTTTATATTACCCTACTTAAAACTGTTCTTTCCTTTTTTTGATTTCTCAGTGCATCAGCTTAATACCTCCATCAGGAGCTATGCCCCTGCATTTGCAGGAAAAGGAACTTGATTCTAATAGAATTAAAGGTGATGAATGCAACATCCCTATTTCTTAAGTGTAACAAGTTAGTTTATTAAATTAGGAAGGACAAGTACCACAAACTCCTTGGGTTTCTCACCTCTGTGCTGAAGTCCACGTTGAAGAGAGGAGAAGGTGGTGTTGGAGATGTTGCTGCCATAGGAAGCGTTGAGGATACAAGAGGGGTTTTCTGTGTGTGGTATTGTGCCCACTGCTCTGGCTTTCGTCGTAACTGATCATCATAACTGGTCTTCAAGTGACCACAAGGCTCCTAGAGCAAATAATAAATTAAAATTGAATC